GCACCCTTGGTAAATATGAGCAGAGAAGGCTGTAAAAAATAAATACACAAGAATACTCTTCTCTCATGGGTATCAAACAAATGCAAACAACGCAGGTTTATAAAAAACAAAAAACAAAAATATTTGTTAAATATATATCTGGCACAATTATTGGCACCCCTCTCAAAAATATATTTGATGTATATTCCAATAGTTTTTTTTGGGGGGGAAAACATGGGCTTGGGAAGTGGCTATAAGAAAAAGCATTGATAATGGCCATTTTCACCATCGGGGCAAAAAGTCGCAGTCAACTGGAAATGTTATCAACGTGGAATAGGATGTGTGTCTATATTGTCTCAACGTGCTGTAAAGAGGATGGTTCAAGTGGCCAAAAAATCTTCATGGATCACAGCTGGAGAATTGCAGAAGTTAGATGTGCCTTGGGGTCAGAAAGTCTTCAAAACTACAATCCAACAAGTTGTTTCGAAGAGTTTCAAGAAAAAGGCATTTACTCTCATCTAAAAATAAACTCAAGCATCTTCAGTTTGCCAGATACTACTGGAACTTCAAATAGTATCGGGTTCTATGATCAGATGAAACCAAAATAGAGCTTTTTAGCGATAATAACCAGAAGTGGGTTTGGTGCACAGAGAGGTAGCAATGAGGAAAAGTCTGGTAAAATCCCAGAAGGGCCTCTAAAAGCTGACTTAGTGCTGCATTGTAAACATTTTAGTTTCTCTAAAACTGCAATGCTTTACATTGCAGCTCTAAGGGTGATAGGAACACTGTACCCAGACCACTTCAATGTGCTAAAGTGTCTATAGTGTCCCTTTAATGTTTTTGAGCAGTTGTTCTGCCAGAATGCCTTGACATTTTGTTAGGATACATGGCATCATAGACTTTATCAAATATTAACACATATTAAAAGAACATCTGACTGCCTCTGCCAGAAAGCTTAAAATGGGCAGTGGTTGGATCTTCCAGCAAGACAATGATCCAATACATACAACAAATTTAGCTTACTGACTACAAAATCAACATTTTGCAATGGCCATTTCAGTCTCCTGACTTGAGCCCCATAGAAAACCTGCTGTAAATTGAAGATTAAAGTCCAACATCATTGACCTTGAATTTGAAGGATCTGCAGAGACTCTGTATGGAGGAATGGTCTAAGATGGTCTCTTGCCATGCATTCTCCAACCTAATTGGGCATTATAGGAGAAGACTCACTTGTTATCTTGACAAAGGGAGATAGGACAAATATTAACTAAAAGGGTGCCCGTTGTTGTCCCACACATATATTTAATAAAGATTTTTAACATAAAAATACTCTGCTGTCATGGATAGTAAACAATCAAAAGGTTAAACACTATAGACAAATTTTCACAGCTTTCTTTGCTCATATTTACCAAGGGTGCCAATTTCAGAACAGGGCACTGTAGTGACAGTAATTAACGTATGACAACAAACGCAGATGATGAAAAATTCTCCGAAAATGTTTAACTGACATACACGTGTTAAATGGCTAGATCTCAAGGACAGGGTGTTCTTTACACTTTGAATTGGTTTGTGTATATTGAACTGTCTTTTTCCCCAGTTGTACAGCACTGCAGTACATATTGGTGCATTATAAACACCAGTAATAATAATAATAAAAAAAAACAATTGTGGGTATTATAACTTATCATAACAATATCATCATTTTTGTATTTGTTTCTTTACGTCCTAATTATGTATTAATTAAACTGCTTAAGGTGCTAATCTCCTTTTGCAAACTGTTTAAAATCAGCTTTTCAACTAATGTTCAATTAAATACTGAACATAATAAAATGCAGAAGTTTATGATATGCATGTGAGGAAGGATTGGGTGGATGGGTGCATCGTGTCCCGAAGGCACAGATTTTCAGGTATAAAAAAGTAATTTGCTAGAATTTCAAAGGTATCTGCTTTCAAAAACTACCTTCCTTCTTGTTTACTGCAGGCTGTCTGCTTTAACAACCTCCGGTGGGATTTCTCACAGCTCATTATGCAAAATCACTGAGTGTGCATTCACCCCCATACTAATCTTCCCACATTGTACCTTTTGTATTTGATGTACCATCCTACCATGTCTGTTCTTTACAAATACAACCATATGCAGACATCTTTGTGTTACAGCTTTCAGTTTCTCTGCCAAATATTTAATGCAGGTCTCATTTTACATTTTTCTGAGCTATAGCAAGGGGCCAAAAAAACTGTAATAACTTGCAAAAAAAGAAACCATACACTCAAAAGAAAATAGCATTTCTAAATGAGCCTCAGATGTTCACGGTTTACGTAAGGACAGACTATGTAATCTCTCCACCTGTGCATGCAAAAGATATCATTATTACTATCCTTTTATTAGTGTGGCTCCATCATTGTATTATTGCTCTGGAATATATAAAAAAGAAGAACTAAGACAATCATGGATGTATTTAAAAATACATAAATGGTTAAATTGCTGTAGCACCTGCACAGGCTTGGAACCAGACTGAGCCAGGACTACACAGCCTAAAGACAAGCAAAAATAAAGTATATACACAGGAGGTCTATATAAAATGCATACATACAGTAAATGGATGACCGCCAATCTCAATGTGAAGCCATAGGTATTAATAATGAAAACTGCATGTTTAGTTACTATAATTGTATACCAGTGAAACAAACTGCAATTGTTTAAATGTATCCCCTGTTGCAGCTTAAAACTATAATACATCACAGACTGGCAGTGCAGCAGTTTGATGAAAAAAATAACCATGATTAGAGTTATCACTGCTCTGTGGTTTCACCTTTTACATGTCCTGTAATACAGTCAGGTAATGGAAGTAGTTAAACCCATATATTCTGATGGCAAGCAAGCCATTCTGAAAAAGAGTTAAAGTCTAGTGTGGCAGTCACAGTTCATCTTATATTTGGACCTAGAAATTCAACAGACACATGTCTAGTCACTTGTCTCTCTTTATTATTTTCCAAAGCGGCTTTATTCAGTCTTTGCCCTAGTATTTTCTCAGCTAGCTTATTCCTAAACACTGTGCAGAGTGTCTCCAGGGCAAATACAATGGCTCATTACATGGAATCAAGAAGTGGTCAGCAGCTGCATGCAATTAACGCAGCTTGAGCTTGGTCCTATAACAGCACGTTCTATCGATGTATAATTATATCCAAGATGTTCCTTTTAGTGACTGTATATCAGAACTAATTCTCTGCTTTAAAAAAAGGCGCTAGGTGAAAGTTTAATAAAAAAAAGGGAACCCACGTACATTACTTGAATTATCTTCCACTGGTGTTTTAATGTTTGAGCTTGTTTCTAAGACTTCAGTTGATTTATTTATGTATTATTAACGTAATAGACAGCATGGTTTCAGTTGTTACTGTTGTTTTAACCCCTTAACCCCTTAAGGACCAAACTTTTGGAATAAAAGGGAATCATGACATGTCACACGTCATGTGTCCTTAAGGGGTTAAGGACACATGACATGTCATGATTCCCTTTTATTCCAGAAGTCTGGTCCTTAAGGGGTTAAAGCCATATGCAAGCATTATGGGTTTTGATCTCCATCACACATAAACCCTTTATTTAAGAAGTTTTAAAGGTTATAATGATGTATTGATATGTCTAATTTATTTTCCATACATGTAGCGACCACCACAGGGGTAGCTGAAGTAAGCGAGCTGCATCATAAGGCATTTAAGTGTCATCTACAAAAAAAAAAAATCTACCTTGCTTTGGTTCCTGATGCACTCTTCATTTAAGAATTTCCCTAGTAAACTAACTGGATAATAGTTTTGTGGCACTGCTAACAGATATAAAAGACTGGCAATGGGATTCTGGATTTCTTACAGTAGTTCTGGGCTTCACCATTGGATTGTATACATGGGCGACAAATTGAACTTTAAATCCAAGCTGGTTTGATTTGTGGGTTTTCCCGTGGACAGTCTTGGACATTTCTTTAAGTCCATGGACAATGAAATGTAGAGTCAAAATATCTGTTTGGGTGATCATTTGTATTCCAGATTTCTGAACTGCCATATAGACTAATCACAAAACAAACGGCTGGCAAAATGGACAAGCATATTTATTTTGATTCATATTTATATTCAGAGTTGTTCTCTGGTGACAAAAAAAGGGATAATTGATGGGAAAAAATAAAATGAATTTCTACAAAACAGCCACTAAATGTTGATCTTATCCACAGATCAAGTGAGAAGAGACCAACAGTGGGAAAAAAGTAAGAGAAATATAATCCTTATTTATATATTTAATAAAAAATATTTAAAGTTAAACACCAATATATTGTGATCATATTTCACTATTACTACTTGCATACATTTTTTTATGCCTGTACTACTTGTATTACTTTCCTCAGCATTTATATTTATTGAGTATTACCTTCTCTTTCATTGTGTTCTTCATGTTGATCTGTTAATGCTGTTTGGGACTGTAGACCAGTTTTCTTGTCTTCTAAAACTGAAGTTGATATAATAGAGTCTGTCTGGAAATCAACTTTCTCTACCTATGTAACAAAAAATATTTTAAAAATGAGCTTTTAATAAATGATGTATCGGTGTGAGATTGTCATAGTTTCTCTTTAAGAGAGGCAAGAAGTGTTTATTGGTTGAAAAACTTTTAAAAAACACACTAACTGATGTGTCCCTGATCTTAGTAATCATAAACCAGGAATGCATGGACTTGCAATATAGCTCATATATTTGTCAGCACTGGTCAATCTTCAGCATAGTCCTCTATGACAGTGATAGAGAACTCTTAAGATTGACTGTAAGAGAAGGGGTTCACATTTTCTGTCACAGTGATACTCCCTCAGCAAGAGTTTCTTAGGCTTGGAGGTGCAATATAGGATCCAGGATTTACCTGCTTTAGGAAGTGTCCACATTAGAGATGTCGCGAACCATCCGCGAACTTCTCGCGAACGGTTCGCCGCGGTTCGCCACGAGCTGTTCGCGGCAAACTCCGGTCAGCTGACACGTCCCGGCCAATCTCCAGCAGACCCTCCCTCCCAGACCATCCTACTTCCTGGACAGCATCCATGTACAGGAAGTAGGTTGGTCTGGGAGGGAGGGTCTGCTGGAGATTGGCCGGGACATGTCAGCTGACCGGAGTTCGCCACGAACAGCTCGTGGCGAACCGTTCGCGAGAAGTTCGCGACATCTCTAGTCTGTTCGCGGCGAACTCCGGTCAGCTGACACGTCCCGGCCAATCTCCAGCAGACCTTCCCTCCCAGACCCTCCTACTTCCTGGACAGCATCCATGTACAGGAAGTAGGTTGGTCTGGGAGGGAGGGTCTGCTGGAGATTGGCCGGGACGTGTCAGCTGACCGGAGTTCGCCACGAACAGCTCGTGGCGAACCGTTCGCGAGAAGTTCGCGAGAAGTTCGCGGACGGTTCGCGACATCTCTAGTCCACATGTGGGTCAAATCACATCTAAGAGGGGGGGAGGACTGGGGGTAGATTTTAAAATAGTGTACCACCCATGGAATTCAAAGAATGGTGGTGCAGAGTTGTAGACTATTGCCATATAAGAATGCTTAAGGCAAATAAATGAATCAAGCAAGTATCATTAACTGAAAGATTTACTGTCTTAGAAGTTGTCATATGCTAAGATGAACCTGGCATGACAGATTCTTTTTAAATGAAATAACAAAATTATTAATATTGTGAATGAGATAGATCAGTGAAATGGCTCAAGTTATTGTATTTCAGAGTCACAGGTTCAATTATCGACAAAATCAGCTCAGTGCTTCATCCTTCAGAGGTTCATGAAATGAGTTCAAATAATTTAGATACTAGTAACATACAAACCCCAACATGTGTTTTAAAAACTAGCACAAAGCTAAATGTATCTTGCTCTGTAAGTCACATGTGGAACCCAACATCAAATAAGATCTGTTCCTCATTGTCTGACACTATTTACTAGTGTTCCTATTCTGACTAAAGGAGTTAAACAATTAAAGAAGTTGTTAATAAAAATAATTACACATCTGGCAGTTTCTCACTAGACAAGAAATGTTTATAGTTTTACTATAACGTTTAGTTTCCTGATCTCTTAAATGCTAATATGAGGTTTGGAATTGTAAATGTTTTGAGTGAGACTAAGCAATAAGTGCTCACATTTTTATCCTGTGAGATTTCCAATAGTCGTTTGCTTGTGCTCTATTAAAGCTTTACAGTGTTGTGGCATGGACTTCATAATACTCTTTAACGTGCAAACTTGAACAGACTCCTCTATTTCCCCTTGGTTATATTTATATTTGTAAATTTACTATATTTTTTTTTGTTATACACAACAATAAGCAGGGACTACTTTTTCTCATGGGGGGCTCGATTTTTGGCAAATGTTGGCAATGGGCAGAACTTTGGCTTATTAGAACAAAATAGAGGCACCCAGGTATTAAGATTCGCAGAGAAGGCTTCTTTTTTCCCCCAGGTATTACGGGGTGGGGGACCTATTAGTAATGCCCAATAGGGCTTTTTAAGTTTTGGAAAAAAAAACAATGTGTTACAAACAGTTATATCGACCCTTTAATGTTGAAGCTGAATGGAATGTGAATGTTAATGTATCAGCAAGTGTGTTTAATTCTTAATCACTATCATTTGTTGTTTTAGTTTATTCTGTGATATTTTTAAATAAAAATTTACACAATTTCTGGAGAATGCTATTTTGTTTCTTTTTTTTTCTAGTATTCACTGACATTTTATTTTTTCCACCAATCTTACTCTTTATTTAATTTATTAATCATTTTTTTTCCTTATTGCATAAGTGATATAGTTGTGTTTGTTCTTACAGGGCATCTACAAGATTAAAACTAATTAGTAACTGTTAACCCTTTACTTGTCAATAGTGATGTCCCGAACGGTTCGCCGAACGGTTCGCCGAACGGTTCGCCACAGACTCATCATTGAGTAAACTTTGACCCTGTACCTCACAGTCAGCAGACACATTCCAGCCAATCAGCAGCAGACCCTCCCTCCCATACCCTTCCACCTCCTGGACAGCATCCATTTTACATTCATTGTGAAGCTGCATTCTTAGTGAGCTGTCCAGGAGGTGGGAGGGTCTGGGAGGAAGGGTCTGCTGCTGATTGGCTGTAATGTGTCTGCTGACTGTGAGGTACAGGGTCAAAGTTTACTCAATGATGAGTCCGCGGCGAACCGTTCGGCGAACCGTTCGGGACATCACTACTTGTCAATCATCAGAGAGGGGTTCTGGGAGGCCTTCATCGTTGATGCGCCCTTTATTGTCTGACTAATATGTTTTTGCTTGTTGAATAAAGATTGGGATGTCAACACCTGATGGCTTCTTGATTAAGTTGGTAAGAGTTCCTGTACATTACTATCAAGTCCAATAGCAGGGTGCATGCCTATCCTGCATTCTTAATTAGATAATTAAGAAAGATCCCACCTGGGAAATAGGCCTTCCTTGAACCCTGCTTACTATTAACATCCCGCCCTTTGCACAAGAGTGAGTGATAGTATAGATTATTGGACAAATCTCCATCACTATTTACCATTTAATCAACACATATTTTAATTGCAGGTTTTGAGTCCTCAGTGACTACCTTTTTTAAAGGGAGGGTTGTTCAATTTATGCTGCCTTGATAAACTCTGTCCTTGACATTCCAGGAATTCAAGCTACATATTCAATACATTATGCAAATTTAAACCATAGCAAAGGTCTAAAGTTAGAGCAATCAGCTTAAGAATTGTACTTGACACGTATCTATTCCCTCTAGGTTAGATTTCCCAGCTCTTTATATATTTCTATATATTTTTTCTGGGTCCAGAAAATTTCTTGAAAATTAAAAGTCCATCAGTTCAAATCAAATTTTAAATAATCTACATTTGTATTTGAACTATTCCAAGGCACAGGTTTGAAGTGAAAGGTGCTAAATAGCGTCAAAGGGGAACATCAACACAAAAATAATATTGCTGTATTGAAACTGAAGTAAAAGGGACAACATTTTCAAGGTCAACGTTATTTCATTCATATTATTCTCTGAACAATTGATCTGTGTCATTAGTTGACACTCCTTCTGTGTTTGATTTGTATAGCCTTTTATGTGCTAGGTGAACATCGAAACATGGTATATGTCCATTCTGTTTGAAAGAAGTTTTGTAGAAGAGAAACCTTAGCCAATATAATGAAATATTTATTCCTTCTAGCACCTTAAATATCATATTTCTATACTGCAGCGCAGTTTATCATTTATGATATGTTATTGGAGGAATAATTTTAACATTTAAAATCTAGTAAATAAGCATGTAAAAGTGGTCCTAACATATCCCTAATAAGATATTGGTACTTTTTCCACATGCCATCACAATTTTAAAGTAACTATTGTGACCCAATAAGAATACGTTAGAAGAAAGGAAATAGTGGTTCCAAGAGCAGTCCACAAGAACCCTTAACTATTCAGTTCTTCATTGAAAACATAAGGGCCCATAAAAGTGCTTGAAAACAAACTAATAAAAGCATGACACACATAGTTGTTGAATTATCTAATAGACATAACCTCCTGTAGTGAGGGGAAAAAAGGGGAGCACAGCACTACTTCCTTTTTTAACATTATAAGTACCTATGCCACTGTAGAGAAAATTGAACAAGTAGGGATTAGCATAACATAAGTAGCATAGATGGCTGCTAAGTAGAAACATTCAGGTCTTGGCTGTGGACCTTCCTTATCTGAAGACTTCCAGAGAACCCACAGGTAACTGAGAAATCCTTGTGGGTGTTCAGTAAATAGGAAATATATCCAGGGTGTCTAACAAGTGTGATGACATGGCACTTATTGTGCACATAAAATAAATCCTATTAAGGACATGGAAGAGGGATGGAGTGTCTAATATACATTCCTTTGCAATGCAGTGTCTAGCCACTAAGCAGACCTGATTAACAAGCAGCAGACATACTCAGGAGATTACTTTTTATGAGTATATTTTAAAGATGATAAAATATGTTTCTAACACAAAAGTAGAATAATCAATAAGCTAAACAGAGAATAAAAATACATTTTCTAAGATTAAATGTATACTTTAAAATATAACTTTTATTATGTTTCTAAAATACTACATTGGTAGAGGACAGGCTTGACCACCATGCTTACTGGTCACATTACAGAGCAGCTCCTGAGTTTTTCTGCCCTTCCACTAAAAAAGTGCTGCTAAAATACTTATGTTGCATCGGTGAGCTAAGGTCAGTCATGTAATAGTGTGCTGGTTCTGTATCCGATCCTGTAACATGGGATTTGGACCCTTTGTGAAAGGACCATAGCTCTTGAGTTTGCATCCTTCGCAGACAGTGAGTGTGGTGGACAATCACCGCCCTACTATCTTATCTGAATGCAACACATACATTTGTTGTTATAGACTATTACTGGTCCTGTTTCTAATCCCCCCCCCCCATTTGGACCGCTGGTGGTCATCCTGGTCCACTATGGAGCCTTAACCTAGATGACATCTCTGTAACTCCTGCATGCACCTATGAAGTCTGCTGAGTCCATGCCAATTTCAGCTTCACACCAAGACATATTACACCTGGGGGCAACGGCAGCCTTCCTTAGAGCCTCTGACACCCTTTGTGACCGATTTTGGGCTAACCTAAGCCAGCTATTGAGATGTTATTCTCTCCCCAGCCACTAACCGAACATGTCAATCACAAGGCTTGATCACGTTCTCCTACAATTGCAATAACTCCTTATCACTTACCTAACCACAAGCCATGGCTTCGATAAGTGATGAGTAGTGATTGCAAGACCACATGCTAAACCAGATCAATGTTCCTGTCAAGCTGCCCGGAGTTACTGCCGATACATGCCTCAATATATAGCTCCTTCGAATTGGCAATCACGGAGCACATGTTTTTTGGAGATGATTAAAGATGGTTTGTGGTTTACTGTGGCATTTTGGTGGACCTTAGTCTCCTTAGGTGCGCTGGTCACTTGATCCATGAGCAAGGAATCGTTTGAGGGCCAATGAGATGATGGACTGCATCTATCTATATGGGAAGTTTTTCATACGGGACAGGTGTAGGGGAGATGTTGTCTGCAGTTGATTGATTAATTTAGTTGTGCAATTTTCTTTTCCTTTATAAATGTATTATATCACTACAGACTCTACAAGTGCTCCAGAGGTCTTAAAAATCTCTGTGTCAACTAGTATATATTGTATTGTTATTCCTATGTTCAACGCAATACTTGCACTTTTAGGGAATTCTTTTTTCTTCTCTGTTTAGTTCAATTTTATTAGGGGTTACCATCATATTTATTCCTTTTAATTATTTCAATTAGCTCACTTCTGTTCTTAGAATACTCATTATGAACATTACATTTCTCTACTTTTATACCTTTGTTCCACCTCCACTTTTTTTAAGCAATGCTGCCTAAATTTTACATTTCCTTTCAGCTGCTATCAAGTTAAAACAAAGTAGAATATATGTCATAATACAAGTTGCAGTTTCTAAACGTGTGTTACATATACCTCATGGGTACATCTTATTGGACAAAGAGTGTACTACAGTCTCCATATGTTATTTCAGTTTACTGCTGATAGAGGCACAGGGTATATGTGGTTAGTTGAAGGCAGTCATAAAGAGACAGATCATACCTCAATTGTTTCATGTGAGTCAGCATTTCTTTCAATCACAATGTCGAAGAGTCGTTGAAAAAACTCTATGGAAAAATAATATTCCACAGCAAGAGCCCGAAGAGCCTTCAATACTGAATACAGCATAGCACCTTGGTGAGCAAGGGGATACAGTTTGTCTCGTAATTTCAACAAATTGGTATAAGTTGCTTTAGCTTTTTCAAGTTCTTCAAAAACCTGGGGGAAAGAATTTTAACACTGAACAAAACTGGCACTCTTAGCCTGTGCAGTGTATTAGCACTCTGATTCTTGTAAAAAAAAATAAAACAATTGCATATATACCATCAAAAGTCCATTTAATTTTACTTAATTTGTATATCATCCCTACATTTTAGAAATGGTCAGTTTTGCCCATCTATACATCAGGCAAACATGTGGAAACTAAAAATAAAAACTTTAACAGAGCTCCTTTAAGCATTTTGTATAAACAGTTACAAATATGGTGCATGCAATTATTTAAAGGGGAACTGTCCCTTTCCATGATTTTTTAATATTCTGTTGACTTATGTAACAAATATGTCAAGTTCCCTGTCGATCATTGATGTTTCTATTTCTCCCCTTCATTAGCAATGTTTTCTCGGGCTTTGCCTCAGTTTATGAACTGGATTATGATTTAATTTGCCAATTCTTACAAGGAAAACAGAGCATCTAATTTAAAAAGGTCAACACAGGTTGTAGGTGATTTTCAGTGTTTTATTATAATGTGAGACATGTCAGTTTCCCTTTAAAATATACATTTTACTTACTGTCTTTCTCTCATTAAATATTTCAGTTATGTAGATGGTGTCATACGTGTCATTCAAAGCAGAGGAAATAAAACATTCTCTGGTTCTAATCTCTAGTTCATTTAAGCTCTCCTGGTGCATCAGAATAGTGTTTGATGTTTTCTGTAATGAAATACAAGACACAAATCAGTATTTAATTGCATTCTGTAAACACAATCAAGGTCTGGGTTATTTGCACTGCCTATGTATGGGAACTGTACAAATAACACAAAGCATATTTTAACATGGCACAAGTAGTCTCTTTCAACTTGTTGGTACTGCTATTGCTATCACAGTGAAAGTGTAATAGATAGAGCAATTTTCATGGAATCCATGATAAACAGCACCACTAGCAAACATTTTGGCATTGACCTTGAGATACAATTCAAAAGTAGAAAAAAAGCTCAATATTACAAAGCTCATAAAGTGTAGCTATTATTTTAAGAATTGTGATTAAGCAAAAGGGATGTACATTGATCAGTAATGTTTTTTTAAGAGTAAAAAAATAACAGTGTTAATTCTATTTTTATTAACAGCACTGGATGCCAGCCACTATAGCAAAATTAAAGTGCAAAACATCATGGTACTGGGGAAAATATCAATCAAAATAAATATCAATAGTTCATCCTAGCATTCTGATTAATTGAATACACGTATTCATTCATTCATTTCAAAATATGATTTAGCATATACATA